GTGAGTCTTGAGGATTGAACTTGACTGTTTCACGATATATAAGCTCCTTAATGTTCTCTTCTGTCAAAGAAGGTTGCTCGAAATCGAAATTGAATGGCCTCACACACACCGGTTCTTCGTTTATATCGTGCAGCGGTGCTAAATACGGATGGCACAATGCCTCATCAACTACACACACAGAAACCTGTTTAGAAAAAGACCAAAATGATAAAACAGAGAAGAGGCAGATATAAATATGTGCAACTCACCTGTGATGCGTCTGCTTGGATCAAAGACGAGCATTTTCTCCAGCAAATCAACTGCACCTGCTGACATGTTTGGGAATCTAGCAGCAAAGTTCTGTCTCGGGTACTGCGGAAGCTGTCTAACGTATCTTCTTGCGTTGTCACTCCTTAAGAATCCCAAGCTTGAATCATCAGGTGATCCTATAAGCTGCTTTTCAAAGATTTATCAACAAATGCAGATCATACCGAAGAAATGTTCAAGTGATTTAATGGATGAAACAATTTCAGATTAGATTACCTCAGTGATGAGTCTAAGTTGATGAACATAATCTTTACCAGGAAATAATGGCTCTCTAGTCATTGTTTCACCGAGTATACAACCAACAGACCAAATATCGATTGCTGCTGTGTACTCTGAGCAATTAAGGAGCAACTCTGGAGCTCGGTACCAACGTGTAACAACATATTCAGTCATGAAGTCTGTCTCGGATTTGGTCCTCGCCAGCCCGAAATCCCCAAGCTTTAGATCACAATTTGCATTCAGGAGCAAGTTGCTGGGTTTTAAATCTCGATGTAATACATTCGCTGAATGAACATACTTGAGCCCACGCAACAACTGATACAAGAAGAACTGCAAAAGAAAAAGAAAAAAACATTGAAACCAATGACTAAACAACGAGCTCAATTTCTGAAACATCAAACCAAGAACACAATTGATGAAACAGAACAATCATAAGAATGTCTGTGATATTTATAACTTATCAGTATCAAGCAATACTGAATCTAACAGTTATTTTGATCAACCTTAATCCCTCAAATACAGTAACACAAAACTATGGATTGCTCTAGCTTCCTGAACCATGCAACTTCTAAACTAGTAACCGAAGATTCATCTGGTACATATAAACAACATAAAGGTAAGTGCATACCCGACAATGATCATCGGTCAAAGGTTGGTTTGAGCGTATAATTTGATGGAGATCAGTGTCCATTAGCTCATAAACAATGTAAACATCATTAAAGTTCTCTCTCTGCGGTGGTTTTATTATATCCTTTACAGCAATTACCTGCGCAACAAAGACCATAAACAATATAAGATTCACAAAAACTACCTCATTTCAGATAAGTAAAAAACAAAATCCAAAAGATCATTAGAGTCCGTACATTTTCATGATCCATATGCTTGAGAAGCTTAATCTCTCTCAAAGTTCTTTTCGCATCGATAATGTTGTCGAAAGCATTACCGATCTTCTTGATAGCTACTTCCTCTCCAGTCTCTGAGTTTGTAGCCGCACTGATTCGAAACACAAACATACATAAAAGAAGAGATTCTAAGTGAACATTGGCCCATTTCTATCAATTTATCCACAGAGTAAAAAGGGCAAATCTTTTCCAAGTATGATCATAAATTCATAAAGATCATCAACAATCCAAAAAAACCCAGAAGTATGAGTAAAATTAGAAGTTTCTAAAACACAAATCTGGAAACAAATCTTCGATATTAGAGCAATCCAAGCAAGAAAAGCTCATAAACCCAATGAATCAAACAAATCCAATTTGGGGGAAACAAAAAAAACTCACCAGACGATGCCATAAGCGCCTCTACCGATAGGACGAAGAGGAGGAACATACTTTCTAGAAACTTCGAATAGATTCCCATAGACATTATACTGAACATAACTACCACCATGAGTAGGCAATCCTTTCGTGCTTTGATCACCTGAACTACCGAAACAACTCTCCGCCGACATTTCTCACCTAAAAACCCACAAAAATCGGGATAAGAATCCAACAAGAAAACGAAGAACCCTAGATACACGCACCAGATAGATCGATGCAGAGAGAGAGAAGAAGCTAATGGAGGAAATGGGTGTTTGACATTTCTCCAAATACGTGTTAAAAGTTTGGACCTTTTTCTCTGAACGGCAAAGCCTCTCGGGCGACCCGTGAACCTTAACGGGTTTTTAAGTCTTCTTCTTCGTTTTTTCTTTACAAGTCAACTTTCAATTTTTCTTTGTTAGGTATAATCTATTGGAGTGGAATTATATCCGATGATTACTCCATTTTTCTATTAAATTTGATCAATTTTATAGAATTGAAGAAGTAAATGACTTCATGTGGGAATGTTCTTGATTTCATATAATAATAATAATCATTTACACAAATAAAAATTAAAACTTTTCTCCAATCAGTATTTGAGTACGACTTGGTTTATAGGTGTAATAATAAGAAGTCAATGTCTGCCAAACTTGTACTCCTATTTCACAACAAAATTAGTGACATTTATTATTCCTGAAATGACATTCAATTGTATTTTCAAAAATGGTTTTAAGAAAATAAAATGAAAATTCATTCATGAACGACTTTAACTAAATTTTGGTCCATTGGTTATACATAGGTTGAATATGTATATGTATTTTATACACTTGTTCTGGTTTTGAGTTTCAAGTATTTGTCTTGACATCTCTTATTGTTAACTACATGTTCTATTCACAAGCAAGTCTACTACACACTTTTAATCATTGGCAATGTCACTCCTAACTCTTCTGCATATCTCGTCCAGAGGCTCTCGAACAACGCATCGCGCGCAGAGATCACTACCTTCGACATGCATCGTGTTTCCTTAGAGACAAGGTCAAACCTTTCCGAAAGTTCTATCACTGACTTCTTCAATTGCTCAACTAGCAAAATGGGAACTACTGACCCTTTTTGGACTGCTTTGTAAAGTTTCTTCACACCGGATTCAACGGCCTCGAGATCTTTTATAACCGTGAATCTGTCAGATAAGAAAGTGTTTTTGATCTCTGGATTAATTATGTTCTGCAATTCCACGGAAGCTTGTGCCCATGGAACCTCCTCCATCTCCTTTGGCACGGTTAAATAAAAGAGATTCTTGGAAGAACTCGAGAACGCAGCAGCAAACACGCCGAATATGTATAAAGTCTTGACCTTTACACCGTATAGAGCTCGCAGAAGTACTTTTCCTTTTGCAGATTGT